CCTTCCCTAACCCCATAAAACTTCCTTTCTTGGAGCCAGCAGGTGATGTGATAGTTAAGGTGCTGGACTCCCACATGGTTGACCACAGTTCAAGTCCCAGATCTGGTGACTTATAAATCATGCCAGGAGGGAACAACAGTTAGCGTAATGGCTATGTTGCTGGACTCCCATGTAGTTGACCGCAGTTCGCGTCCCGGACCCGGTGGCTTAAACTCACACTGGGCGCATGTGCGTGTGTGCCTGCCCAAGATCCCGAGAGGAGAATGGAGGATAAGGGATTGTGGTGTGGCCATCCCCCTGGGGAGTGATGTCTCACTTTCTATCTCTCTGTCTCTCTCTGTCTGGCGAGCGCACGCGCCCTATAGAAAAAACAAAAACAAAAAAAAAACCTCTCCAAAAAAAAAAAAATCATGCCAGGCATATGTGCATACATGCCCGAAATCCCTGTAGAGAATGGAAGAGAAGGGATTGTGGTCTGCAAAACTTCAGTTCAGATCACGTGCCTCCTATGCAGCGTATGATTATTTTTACACTATTTATCACATCAGGGTAAATAGATATTTTCTTACTTGCTTTTCCCCCAATTACTAGTTTAAGGAAAGGTGCTATGCTTTATTTGTTGTTGTATTTCCACATCTTACAGTATCTGTTGATAGTGGGGATTCTATGAATAGGTGCCAAATGGTAAATAAATAAATACCTAGGATTGTTTTAAGTACTACTATTACATAGACTTCTAAGTTATTCTATTTTCATGGTCATTTTACCATAAATTTTTGTCCATAAAACACTGATTGCATTAAACTTACTCCTTTTTAAATAGCAAATATTAATGATTTTGACCAAACAACAAATAAAAAGTAGCTTTTCGAGTATTTAACTATTTGATTTGTTTTTTTTTTTTACATGGAATTAAACAAATTGTATAACCCATTTATTTCTAATCTATTAAATACAACACTAACATTATTTAGGTAAGCAGACTATCGAATTACTTTTGACTTTTCTTCCTTTTTTTTTTTTTAAGCTAAAGGACACAAAATCAGCAGATCAGAAAACAACTCTACTTCATTTTCTGGTAGAAATATGTGAAGAAAAGTACCCTGATATACTGAGTTTTGTGGATGATTTGCAACATTTAGAAAAAGCTAGTAAAGGTTTGTATTTTTGTTTGTTTGTTTTTTAATAAATTCATTGCTCTGATCTTTAGTTCTAGAACACAGAAAATGTCTTTTATTTGTATATACTTTACACTTTGTCTCAGTGTTCTCATACTGAAGATCTAAAGAGAATGTTATGGGATATTTATTTCATGAGTTATGATTGGAGCTATGATTTTAATTTGGTTAAATAATGAGAACTAATTTTAAAAAATACTTTGTTTTACAGTTTAAATGTTCTGGATGCTTGGCAGCCCTACTCTGCTGGTACCCTGTTGTGGCGGGGGCAGGGGGGTGATATCCTCTTGATTCACTGCCTTTCACAATTAGTGAGTGACTGTTACATACCTGGTCCTGAAACAGCAATCAGTGCTACTTGTTGCCTCGTTCCCAGATCTTTTTCTGCCCATTCTGTAGGTGAAGCTTTCTTTCCTTGTCCTAGTAGACAGCAAAATAGGAGTTTCAATTCACTTCTTCCTGTTGCATGCATTCCTAACCTGAGTCTAGTTCCCACTGTAGGCTTAAGTCAGGTTATAGAGAATCATGGAAAAGATAAGACCTATTATAATACTTGGTTATATGGCCATTTTTTTTATCATCTTGAATCTAGTTTTCCCTTTATTACACATCAACTCCCAGAAAGCAATTCTACTTCAAACAACCAATTTCCAAATACATTCTGTAAGATAGTGCCTTTGGAATGGTAGAATGCTTACCATTCTTTTTGTGTTGATCACTAGTCATTAGTAATGTCAACTCATTTTGTGATCTTGTTATTTTCTTTATGACATCGGAATCGATCAATCTAAATTTTTTTCCATATTAAGTGGGATATTTTCTATTTAAAAAAATCACTTTTATCAAATTATGCCACCTTTAAATTGTTTTCTCTGTAAATTGGGAGTCATAACACTTTATCTTCAGAGGCATTTGTCCTGATCTGTATGTTTCTTTGAAGTATAGTACATATTTCACACAGACTCTTGTAAAAAATTTGGAAATAATTGATCTGGTTTTTTAAGACAAAAATAAACTTTTTAGTTCATATATGTATATGTGTGTATATATACACACACACACACATGCACATAGATGTTTTAATGGAATTTAAGAAGAGAGAATAATCCAATTTATTTTCTTGTATCGAACCATATGAGATAGGGCAAAAGGGCATAGAACCGAAAAGGGGAAAAACATTAAAAATAACTTGGTGATACTCAAAATAGCTTTTAACTGATTGGTTCATTAACGTAGGAAAAAGTATCCTAAAGTGAATTTCTGAAATTCTTAATATTTGAGGAAATGGATTGAAAAAAACTGACAATGAGTGTTTTGTTTTGTTTTTAAGAGAGGTTTTTGCTATAGGGCATGTGTGCTTGCTGGAGAGACAGACAGAATGGGAGAAGTCACCCCCTAGGTGGTGATAAACAGGAGGCAATCCCTTCTCCTCCAGTCTCCTCTAGGGATCTTGGGCACGCAAGCACACACATCTAGAGTGAGTTTCAAGCTGCTGGGTCGGAGACTTGAACTGCGATTGACTACATGGAAGTCCAGCAACATAACCATATACCATCTGCTGGTTCCACAATAAGTGTTCTTAATAGTCATTAAGTTGATAAGTAACAGAGTAGTAGAAGAAAAAAAATAGTATAAAGTACTTTGAAGTATAGAAGGAATTCTTTTTTCTGGGGAAGAAATGGTTTAATAATTAGTCGCTCATGTCATCATTAGGACATTAATAAGATTTAAATTAGTGAAAGTATTTGCTGATAATAAAAGTTTATATTTCTGATCAGTTTACCATTTTTCATACCAGTTCTAAAACTGAACAGCAAGCTGGAATATACATCTCTTTAGATGTATTTTTTAATTATAGAATTTATATTCTAGCAGTTTTTGTTATAATGAGATTTTGAAATCTTTCTTTAAGTTTATTTTTGTTTCTACAATGAGACAGATTGATTTATTGGATACAGGCATCCCCAGTAGGGTCTTCACATTGCTGTCCAACTCTAGCATCAACCAGCCCGGATCCTGTGCATGTATGTGCCCCCCGACCCCACACACACTGTCAGTAGGCCACAGGACACAAACCTGGGACCTTCCTCTGTGGGTCCAGTTACGCTTCTGCTGTGCTACCATCTAGGCCCTATTTTTCTTTCTTGACTCGTTTGATTTTACTTAAATTTCTGTATGCTATTTTGCTTTCCTAAGGATTTGTAAAGTTGTAATTAGATTCTTTTGTTTGTTTTCTTTTTTGGTGTTTCATTGGAGCATTCTGGGACCTTGGGATCTGTAGTTTCCATCTGTTAGAGCAGAGGTGCGCATATGTGTATGGGTCAGCAGATACTGTTAATATGTTTCACAGGGAGCAGCCAACTTCATATTAGAACTAGAAAAGCCATTAGTTTTCTGTTTCCTTGTTATAGTATAGGTGATTGTAAAACATCATTTCTTTTTATGATATATTACCCTATAAATGAATGAGAGTTTAGAGGAGTAAATATAAAGTTTTGGATGAAATAAATCTATGTTTGGTTTGTAGAATTTCAGTGCTCTTATACATTATCATTTAAAAGTTTTCTGATTTGAAATCTCCTCAGTGAGCTATCGCATGAATTAAAAAGTACCTTTGTTTTTGAGAGATAACAAATCCTGGTCATTAGGTACTCCTAGATCAGCAGGGGGGTCTTTCATTGCAACTAATGAGCTTACCCATATGACAATTTTCAAAAATCTACTTCATTAGGGCTGCTTCTTTTCTGAGAGATAATGGCTTACAGCTTCTCTGTTGTATTTCAGTGAAAATATTTTGGGTCATTATTGTATTTCTGCATACCATTGTAATATTTCTTTCTTTTTTGGACTTCTGAGGGTTGAATATATTTTTCATCTGTTTAAACAGCTAAAATTAATTGGCTCTAATCTATGAAGGTGCTATTGGTTACGTTCCAATAATCTATTTCATTGTTAAACTGGAATCCTGTTTCGTTAATGAGCAGAAAATATGATAAAACTAATTTGGGAGGCTTTTGGAGGGAATCTATTAAAATAAAACTAAGGTAAGTGTATAGCATCATCTTGGTCAACTCTTTGATATGATTATCATACTTCTATCATATATTTCTATTCTTCCCTTATCAACTTTGAATTCTAGAAATGCCATGCGACTCCAGTCTATAACTCATTTATTCACTCATTACCTAACAAGTCTGTGTTGAGTCATTTTTCTGTGTCAGCAATTATGCTCTTGTTCTTCTGTTACTCTAAGGTATAGTTTCTGTCTTGATGCAGTTCAGTCTGCCTCACTCATACGTAGCTTCTGTCCCAACTGCTGTCCCTTCTTACTCCTTTATTTTCTCCTCTTTCTCTATGAAACTTTCATGTGCTGCTACTGTTAATAGCTTAATACTGAGCCCTGTCTTTTTTCCTCTCTCTTGGACTTCTCTTGAGGTAAACTCTTCAATTCCCAAGGATGGAAATACCGTCACTGTGTTAATAATTTACAAGCCTATATCCCAGTCTTTCCTTCTAGCTCCACATTTACAAATCTAACAGTTTTTGCCATTTTCCTCTGTATCTCAAATAGACTTAATCATAAAGTACCACAAAAGAGGGCTCTTAATCCTTACATGCTTAACTTTTAATTTATTTGAGAAAATCCTTCTTGGCCCCTTTTATGTTTCCTTTCCTTTTTTGTCTTCCTTTTTTGTCGTGTCTCTTTATAGCCTTCAACACCCCAACTCACAGCTGCATATGTTGGATTTTGCCTAAATTAATTATGTGGGGAGATGGCCAGTGTGGCCTACAGTGTTGTCCAGTTTCTTCCTTTATCATGGACATTACAGTAAATGTCACGTTCCTTTTGGGGCTTTTCCTGGTACTTCCTAGGAACCTCACCTAAATTTCTTTGTATTTTTTAGGATAAATTCATAAGCTTCCCAGAATCGTTACACCATCATTTAAGAGCTAATTTTCAGGATGAGCAGGTGGCATAGTGGTTAAGGTGTTGTACTCCCACACGGTCAACCATAGTTCAAGTTCTGGACTCAGTAGCTTGAAAATGATGTTGTATGCATATGTGTATGGCCAAAATCCCTTGAGGATAAGGAGGAGAAGGGATTACAGTGTGGCCATCTCTCCTGGGGGAGATTTCCCACTTTCCCTCTTCCTGTGTCTGTCTCTGTGAGCTCACGTGCTCCATGGCAAAAAATCTTTAAAAAACACAAACTGCTACTTTATTTTTTAAAGAAGAATTTTATTTAACTTTAAAAAAAAAAAATTGACGGGGGTGGGGAGAAAGAGAGAGAGAATCAGAGAGAGAAAGAGAGAGACAGCAAGCCGCCAGGTTCAGGATTTGAACCACAGCCAGCCATGTGGGATTCCAGCACCCTTAACTACCATGCCACCTACACCAGCCCCAAAACTGCTACATCTTTCCAGGAACTATTCTTGAGACTGCCAAGAATAGAACTCATTTCTAGGGAAAAGGGCAGTACTCAATGTATTGTTAGACTGCATTTAATTGCCCATTTCTAATTTTTGTCACTGTTCTGTGCTTTTGTATTTCTTGCTTTTTAAGAACATTTTTGTGATTTTTTTTTTATCTTCTCCATTTTATAGACTTTTTAAAATTTGGGTATTTTTTGTTTGTTTGTTTGTTTGCCTTTAAGGCTCTATTTGTATGCATTTACCTAGCAATTCCTTGGGCTGACCCAAATATTTGTCTGGTAAAATACATCTTCTGGTTTCCAACTCCTCGTGCGTTTCCAACATGTTATGATAAATGCCTCACTAAATACCAAACGTTTGTCTTTTATTCACCTGCTGCGAGTGCTTAGAGCACTTAATTTCCAGGTGGCTGCCACCTGAGAACTTAATAGTGTTAGAAATTTTCAAATTCATCTGCTGTAACCAGCACACAGTGATTTCAAAGACTTCTGTTAACCTCCTTGTGCTATACTCTTCCAAAAATGCCAATTAAAATTTATTAGCAC